ATAGGTACGGTGCGGTAACTCCAAGGAAGGCTAGACCTAGAATAATATGTCACAAACAACGATATTTTCTGGCTTGCATGAAATGTTTATGATTAATTTAATGACTCTTCTTGACTATTCAGCAGACTTATACTACTATATAGGCCACAGCATATTTGAAAATAGAAATGAATGGCTGTTTCTGTAATGCACGGTTGTGTGAAAGAGAAGAAATTAATCAATTTTACTAATGTCGGTTGGTCTAAATCTAAATTCATAGAGTCGACAAGAACCTGGGAAGCAATGATAAGTTATGCCGGAGTGGAAAGAAAGGTAGCATTGGAAATGATTGAGAGGTGAGAAATGAAGTTGTAGACAAACAGTTGATGTTTCAAAATATAGTCTATAGTCCATACTCATACTGTCATAGGACATTTCAGACTGTGATATATCAAAATTTAGTGTAGATATAGTCTAGTAATGGTATGCAAACACTGCTGGACTGTAGAACATGCAATGAGCATATATACGCTCATTTAGTACATCAGATAAAATGCATTATGTATTCAAGGTATTAGTTAGTATTTAGGGGTATTTTTAAAATCATGCTGCTCCAAATATTATTTTCTTCCTTATTTTAGATACTGTACTACAAAAGAAAACGGCAATGTTCCACCAATCCGACCTAACGCAGGCTCTGATCCCTGCTGCTATCAGTGCTATAAAATGGATTAAACAAGAAGTCTTGAAGCTTAAAGGTATATGAGAATCATAATAGTTGCAAACAGCTTAGATGGGCTATTCATATTGAAATACTTTAGCACTTTTCTGCAATTGGAACTGCCCATCAAATTCATGTTGGAGACTTCATTGAGATTTTCAATTCATTTTTTCCCTCGACTATGAAGATCATTTGAGGTTAACGAGGTATTAATAAATAAAGCTGAGGAATTTGAAGGGAATATGAAGAATGTAAATGATACCAGGGCACGTCTATTTAACACTGTCAAACATAAGGATTATACTCTCCACCCAACAATGATTCACTGAAGAAGCATGTGGCCCTCAAATCAGTTCTTGAGTTGGCAAACTGCAAAGAAAAATAGTCAAAATAATTTATGAAAGTGTGCCAAAATCAACTTAAATTGCATAGATTTTTGTTTTTGTATTGACTGCAGAAATCACAGTACACCTATAGAGGAAAAGTCGATTTTTGAGATAGTGGATTTCGAAAACAATTCAGAAGAAAGTGAATTAGATATTACAGTTGATTTAATAAGTATCACACATTTGTTTTTTTTTTCGGACATTTGTTAGTGTCGTAGTCCTGTTTCTAGAAATATTATTGCCTTTGTTCAAATACATAACCACATAAACTAAAAAAAGATTAATTGTAAATTGTAATATTTCTGTTCACTATGTTATGTACATATTGTACATTCATTTAATTTTCTTGACTTTTGCGGTAAATTTCTAAGTGAGAAATAACTGATTTATTTGTGTTTTCGTGCTCACGATGTTAATTTGTGACTTCATTGCTTAAAAATAAATACGTTTGATACTTGATAGCTCCTATAAAATGGATGTAGCTTTTTATGCTGTTCTTGTTGTAAACTGCTTGTGGTTATTACATAAAATTTATTCTCAAATGTGAATCAGCGTTGTTGGTGTCGCTGCTTTCGAGGTCACTCCCGACTCCTGTCACACAATTAAAGTATTTTTTGTTGTTGGTTACATGTATGCCATATTTTTCGTAATCTACCTAATAAATTATGATTGACTGAGGAAGTCCGATTTTGGTCAGGCAAAACATTACAGGAATACATTTGTGTTAGTGTGCTGTAGGGCTCTCGAATTGTATAGTTCTTATGTATGTGTTGTAAACTTATGGTTATTGAATTTCCGGGAACCTCTTATATTCAATTTCGCACCAGGATTGTGGAACAAGCTGTAATGCGTTCATTATGTTCGTTTTCACACAAAACTGAAGAATTTATTTAGTTACCAGATGTGCGCTACGAAACCCATTTTCTGGGCGTTTTCGTGGTTTCGTCTCACGGCCCATATCCGTGGTAAGGATCTACAAGTGTTTAATAATTTACTTATACATTTTTCAACAACGTCTTAGCATAACTTAACTAATAATAACTAAACAGGGCTATGGGAAGCCTGCCCAACTCAGCGCAAGGTCGAGCAGAAATAACTAATATTCATCCGCTCGCTAACAGCTGGTTTAATTCAATTGTTACGTCATGCAGAAGTCATTGTTCAGTGCCGAAAATGTAGAGAATATAGGACAGATCGTAGCACATATTTCTTGTAGTATAAGCGTCTTTTCCGTAAAACGTGCAACTTTTGGAAGTGGGAACAAGGCAATATTTGTTACTAAATTTTTAAGGAACATTTTAAAATCATTTTCAGGTAGTTACCTGATGTGCGCTACGAAACTCACTTTCTAGGCGTTTTTCAGGGCCTCGGCTCGCGGCCTAAATGTGGGATATTTTAGAGAATCGCAGATGAATATCGTCGAAATGCCCTTTTATACGTTTTTTTGCTAAGTTTCGAGATTGTTCGCTTTATATCTTTTGAAATAATATGGATGCGTATTATTTTCTACATTCTGAAGACAAGTAAATTTTTTGTACTTTAATGTACAAGAGGAATATTTCTACTCCTAATGTGGGATATTAATCGCAGATTAATACGTCGGAACGCCCTTTTATACGTTTTTCGCTAAGTATCGACATTGTTTGCTTTATATCTTCTGAACTAATATGAATGCGTATTATTTTCTACATTCTAAAAACAAGCAAATTTAATGTACTTCAATGTACAATCGAAATATTTCTACTCCTAATGTGGGATATTTTGGAGAATCGCATATGAATACGCCGAAACGCCGTTTTATACATTTTTTGCTAATTATCGACATTGTTTGCTTTATATCTTTCGAACTAATATGGATGCACATTGTTTTCTACATTCTAAAAACAAGTAAATGTAATGTACTTTAATGTACAATCGAAATATTTCTACTCCTAATGTGGGATATTTTAGAGAATCGCAGATTAATACGCCGAAACGCCGTTTTATACATTTTTTGCTAATTATCGACATTGTTTGCTTTATATCTTTCGAACTAATATGGATGCACATTGTTTTCTACATTCTAAAAACAAGTAAATTTAATATACTTTAATGCACAACAAAAATATTTCTACTCCTAATGTTGGATATTTTAGAGAATCGCAGACGAATATTGTCGAAATGCGCTTTTATACGTTTTTCGCTAAGTTTCGAGATTGTTTGCTTTATATCTTTTGAAATAATATGGATGCGTATTATTTTCTACATTCTGAAGACAAGTAAATTTTTTGTACTTTAATGTACAAGAGGAATATTTCTACTCCTAATGTGGGATATTAATCGCAGATTAATACGTCGGAACGCCCTTTTATACGTTTTTCGCTAAGTATCGACATTGTTTGCTTTATATCTTCTGAACTAATATGAATGCGTATTATTTTCTACATTCTAAAAACAAGCAAATTTAATGTACTTCAATGTACAATCGAAATATTTCTACTCCTAATGTGGGATATTTTGGAGAATCGCATATGAATACGCCGAAACGCCGTTTTATACATTTTTTGCTAATTATCGACATTGTTTGCTTTATATCTTTCGAACTAATATGGATGCACATTGTTTTCTACATTCTAAAAACAAGTAAATGTAATGTACTTTAATGTACAATCGAAATATTTCTACTCCTAATGTGGGATATTTTAGAGAATCGCAGATTAATACGCCGAAACGCCGTTTTATACATTTTTTGCTAATTATCGACATTGTTTGCTTTATATCTTTCGAACTAATATGGATGCACATTGTTTTCTACATTCTAAAAACAAGTAAATTTAATATACTTTAATGCACAACAAAAATATTTCTACTCCTAATGTTGGATATTTTAGAGAATCGCAGACGAATATTGTCGAAATGCGCTTTTATACGTTTTTCGCTAAGTTTCGAGATTGTTTGCTTTATATCTTTTGAACTAATGTGGATGCGTATTATTTTCTAAATTTTAAAGAGAGAAGAGAAGAAAAATTTTTAAGTAAATTTTATATACTTTAATGTACAATAAAAATATTTCTACTCCTAATAAGAGATCTTTTAGAAAATCGATATTGAATTTCTTGAATACGCTCTGATTCCCAGCAATGTACATTTCTATATGTCGCGGTAATGACACTTTAATGTCAGATTTTTGAAGTGAACACTGCTGGGATTTGTGGGTAAAATATTTCGCCGCAATTTCGCTAGGATCACGATGGCACCGTAAGTCTGCAGTCCGCTTGGGCTTGCAGACCAGTTTCGAATAAGTTCAGAAGTTTGCATATCACAGTACTGCAGTATCATTGTCCTGTTATTTGGGTCAGAGAGGTTGGCTAGAGTTGTTGTAGTAAGCTGTAGGTTGATTCATGGGGTCTCGTGTAGTTTCGTACCTAACATACTTATAGCAGGCGTAGCATAAAAATTTTTTAACATGCCAATTCTAACCCTCACCTGACTACGCCATCCAAAAATGACGTCACAATCACGTCATCGAGCTTGCCAAATACCTGTACGATCGCCCGAAATGGCATCGGCGCCGACGATAAAGAACTGACTGACGTCAACGATCTCTCTCCTATCGGGATCGTTGCGATGAGAAAACGAGAAAAATGGCTGTTCGATTTCGGGTTCTCGTCTGCGCGTCTTGGATCACAGTTCGCGTAATTTGAAGGGCTCTATTACTGTATCACGTCACCGTGACGTTGTGGTGACGTAATTTTTGGATAGTGTAGTCAGGTGGGGGTTAGGATCGACACGTGAAAAATTGTTATGCCACGCCTACTAAAAGTACGTTAGGTACGAAACTACATGAGACCCGATTGATGTACCAGTAACCGCTGGTTAATCAGTCAGTTGCAACGATACACTTATTTTGTTATTCCTATACTTTCAGTCTTTGATTTGGTTATGAAAGGATCTCATGCAATTGTTCATTCTAATTTTTGTGCAGAAAAAAATTATCAAATCCTTATCAGAATGCAGTATTCATGATCTTTTGAATCAAGACTGCAACATCAATACTGTCAATACGTATATCATGAATCTAGGAATCGTCATGTTATCTAACAGTCTAATTCTCGAAAAAACTTACTCTGAAGATTCTAATCAAAGTAAAAGATGATTCACAAAAATGTTGATTATGATTAAACAATCAAGCATTCTTCTGTCACAGAATCTGGTGAGTAATTGTGATTCATTGATGATTTACTTTGATTTATCGAATTGATTTCAATGTCTGTTTAATTGAGTGATGTGTAACTCATTCCAATGGATGTGCAAATATTCTGCAGAATATAAACTTCCTGATGTGTACAAAAAAATTGTAAGGCCTACACTTTTGAGCTGTGTGTACCAATATGGAGGTAACTAATTTTGTTCGCCTACTTTACATCAAGTTGTGTAAAGGCACTGAAACCTATGGGCAGTGGGTATATTCACTTGGCTAACACAGACAGACCCCGAACTCGTAACAGAACTAAAATAAAGAAAATCTGAATAAAATTATGGCCTAGCCCTAACCTGGTACACATAGTATGTGAGTACCAAATTAACCTGCATGGGTTTGAATCTTGTAGGAAATAATTGTGTGCGAAAATAATTCCTGGACGTTCCACTGCGGTTTGGTGGTCCACATAACCGCTGGCCAATTTACAGCTTTCTCTGCTTACAAGTCCATACATCTGAAACAAATAACTGGCTAACCGATCCCATATCTGACATAGACTGAATGGAAAGGATGAGAGGATTCGGTTTGCCATAATTATGATCAAGCATATTATCGTTTTTCTTCTTCCCACAATAAATATGAAAATTCTACTTCATCATGTTTGTATTCTTTTTGCCATATTATGTTATTTCAATTGCAAAATAGCACCACTGACACTTGAAAATGAAATTATTCTGGCCAGTTACGGTTTGAATCATCGAATATCGGTATTTAATTTTTGAGTGATTGGAATGTCTGATTTATTCGAAATTGTGAAATTTTAGTCTTCTCGTCAGTTCAACAGGTAGTATACTTGGGTATTATTATCAGAATGGAAACTGACTGTTAAACTAGGAACCGAGTCATAGTCAAGTTAACAGTTCACTGAAGTTTTAATTAATGGCGTTTTTTTGATGGCAAGTTCAGATCATTTCATTGAGATGACCTAAGTTCCAACCAATATTTGTTTGCAGTGACAGGCAGCAGTATCGTAGTTGAAGCAGCTTTTGTTCCCTCTGTGCTGTGTCTATAATGGCCGTACTTTTCCAACCAGACTCAACTATTCAGTCTTTTCGCATCCATGGGAACATTTCTCTCACACTTGCCCTTTTGTGAAATGAAAGTTGTATATTCAAATTAAATAGCCCCACTCTTGGTTTTGACTGCTATGATATGGGACAGGGATGGCAAACGGTTTTCAATGAATTGGTAAAAATTATATTTCCATTATGAAAAAAAAAATGTGAGTTGGAAATATACCTCCGAAAGTAACAAACAAGTTGTGGGAAATGATTTGTGTAACTTATGTCATTAATGTAGTAACATTATTGCGTATTGGTACACGATGATAGTTCACATGCTGTTTGATTAAATTAACATGCCCTTTATTGTCAATTTTTAGCACTGAAATGTTAGTATGTTTTTGCATTGCATTGGTGGGTCACAACTCACAAAAAAACATGGCGGGTCACTTTGTGGGTGTTTGATTCGCTATCCCTGATCTAGAATAATTGGAAGAAATTTCTCAACTTGTTAAACTCTTTGAATAAATTACTTTGTAAATCCTGACACATTGGAAGAAAATTGTACTCTATTATTAATAACATTTGATTTATTATACCATGTGCAAACTTAAATCAACGCTATATGTGAGCTTGTTTTTATTTACATAAACAATCGTAACGCAGCTGAATGTGCAATATAGCCAGTAGTACTTTTACAACCTCAATTCCAACAATATTATGACATCTTAATAAATAAAGACATGGCGAGTTAGCCCTCTCTCTCTCTCTCGAACTCGCGTTGTCGATTGTCAATTATAAAGAATAAAGACATGGCGAGTTAGCCCTCTCTCTCTCTCGAACTCGCGATGTCGATCGTCAATTATAAAGAAAATAGACATGGCGAGTTAGCTCTCTCTCTCCCTCTCTGATCGCAATCAACGGCTGTTTAGAATAAAATGAGACTGCCGGTAGCAAAATAGAACTTTTGATATATTTAGCATTGTTATTGATTTAGTGCTCATACAATCATTTAAATATTGATATATGATGATGATATATTTAGCATGCTTAAATGAAAATGATAAGTTGAGACATCCTTTGCGCGTCGAGTACCGTTCGGTACCGGTATGCCTTCCGACATATAAGAACGTTTTCTTGTCACTTTGTTACTATTTGCACAGTAGGTATTGTAACCAAACACATTTAATTTAATATATTTATCCTTATTGAAGTTGTTGGTATAAACAGCCAGCTTTCCATCTCCCATTACAAGAAGAGCCGCTGCACAGTTGCAGACTAACCCGCTAGCCGCCGTCGCATGGCGAGTTCGCCCTCATGGCGAGTTAGCCTCCACCCAATAATTCATGCCACACAGTTTGAGAACCACTTAATTAACATAACTTTCCTGATTGGAGGTAGCATGGGAGCTTATCCTAAGTTGCTAAAATAATTTTTACTCTTAGATATTAACACCCAAGCAATGTTCCAGTATATGGAATTTGAAGAGCCGGTGAGCAAGGACTCTCCTGAGAGTGAGTCTACTGGTAGTCATGGCAACAACCCACAAAATGAGCAACCATTCACTTGGAGAGGCCACATGAAGAATTTCCTTCATTCCAAGCCTTGCCATGTGAGTTTTTGTTTGGAATACAAAGCTCATTTTTTTCCTTTTTGAATAAGGCTTGATACAAACGTTCACTAAAAATATGTAATTTATAATAATTTCTCTTTCACAGATTGCTGTCATAGTTCTTGTGCTGGTGGACAGCGTTCTAGTGATCACAGAAATCCTGTTAGACCTTCATGTAGTTGAAGTCCATGAGGAAAGTGAAGCACCAGAGATCGTGCATTACTGCTCCATCTCTATCCTTTCTATATTTATGATTGAGATTGCTGCAAAGGTAAGCCTGGTTTGATAGGATAGAATTTACATATTTATTCCGGGGGAGAAGAAAGACGATAATACGGCTTAATCATATGGCAAACCACGGCTTCTCGTCTGGTTACCACTCCATGTCGGGTATGGGATTAGTTAGTTATTTGTTTTAGGTAGCATGGACTTGATAGTAGAGGTAGCCGTAACTGACCAGCGGTTACGTGAACCCCCTACAGCGGTGAGGAGTCCAGCAATCCTCTCACACATGATCATCCCCACATGGGATTCGAACCTGCAAACCCAAGAAGGGTAATCAGAGATGAGGTGGCGAGCACATTCCTATCGCTTAGCACAATGCGCCACACTACCGAGCCGCCACCGAGAGGGATTAGTTTGGATGGTCAACCGGAATGGCTACTATTTGAATGATCAGAAACTGACTCACATATTTCAATCACTTGGTTTTGCCTCTTTGAATCTTGTACAAATTCTATCACACCCTCATCCCATGCACAGGGTCCTAACTTAATATGCAGCGTTCAACCTTCTCCCTGAATTCTCTCTTAAACTGTTGGAACAGTGATGCATCAAACTAAATTACTGGGGATTACCTAATTCTAAAAAAAATGTTAATCATTGCCTTGCAGGGCCATCTTAGGCAATGCTTTTCTCGCATAAATGGCGTTGTGGTAATTTTGTATTCTCCAGTTTTATTCATACAGGAATTGCAAGGTTGCCAGTGACAAGTAGACCAAATGGTCATTTCACAGTTATTCTGTCTATTTCGGGCAAAGACTTGAATATATACAAATATTTTGTGATCATCCTTGCTCTTATTTTGTTGTTTTACCTTTCCTGAATAGTTAATAATTCTCGGTTTCATTGACAAACTCATTCCCACTATAAAATTATGATTTATATTCCAGCTTATTGCCGACTGGGAACACTTCTGGTCCCATAAAATGGAGATATTTGATGCGATAGTTGTCGTCGTAGCGTTCGCTTGTGACATCGGAGTTTTATTCGTAGAAAACGAGGCAGCTGTTGCTCTGGGACTTCTCGTACTCCTGAGGTTATGGAGGGTTGTCAGGCTGGTCAACGGTGAGAATTGAATTAGATATTTATTCAGGCTATTCATTATTTGGATTAGGCCATAATTCAGGGTACAAATACTATGGGAGTCACTTGGCTAGTCCCTGAACTCGTACTAGAACTAAAATAGGAAAAATTGGAATAAAATGATGGCCTAACCCTAATCTGGTACATGTGCTATGTTCCGGTGTCCGCCATCTTGGTTCACATACTACGGGAGCGCCGAATTATGTTTGATCACACAGCCTTTGCTATTAATGATGATGTTTAAAATTGTATTTAATTATATTACGTACATTCAGCAGGTGTTTTTGACCAATCAATCCATAGTTTTACAAATGAACCATTGGAATTCCAACCCTGGCATCCATTTTGTTTTTCATTATTTTGTTCATGCTAGAACATCTATTTGTTTCATTATTTTGTTTCGTTTTCATGGATTCAGGAATTATTCTGACTGTGAAAAATGAAGGAGATGAACGAGTTCATGCATTGAAAGATAAACTGAAAAGTCTTGAGGAAAAGGTCGAAGGAATGGAAGAAAAACTGGAAAAAAAAGAAAAAAGTAGGAAGCAATGAATATAGGCTGAAATATACAGTATATGGCCTAGTTGTTAAAGTATTAGGATATGATTGGATTTACATATTTATTCCGGGATAGATGAAAGCCGATAAGACAGCTTAACCATATGGCGAACCACGGCATTGTGCTAAGCATTAAAAATACGCTCGCCACCGCGCTTCTGATTACCATGCGCAGGTACGAATCACACACAGACTTAATTATGAGCAAGAAGATTGCTAGACTCATCATTCGCACCCTGGAATGGTTCACATAACTGCTGGTCATGGCTTCCCTCACCATCAAGTCCATGCTTCCGAAAACAAAAAACTGGGTAACTAATCCCATACCAGACGGGGACTAGTAATCGTACGAGAGGTCGTGGTTCGCCATATGATTAAGTCGTCTTGTCGGCTTTCCTCTACTCTGGGATAAATATGTCAATCCCATCCTATCAGTCATTTTTTGCATCATGTTTAATAATAAAGACCATGAAGACATCGACATGCCTCTCATTTGAAGTGTTTATGTTTTATTTTTATGATCCATCAGAGTGAGACAAGCTGAGCCTTAATGTTGGATTGTATTTGTATTTCACTACAAATCTGAATTTGTTGGATAATCTTTTCTAAAGCAGGATATAAGTTCAATGAGTATCAGATACCGTTAGACTTTCATAGCTCAAAACGAAACAATATGTAATTGAAACTATTTTGAAATATTCCTCATTCCTCTAAAAGTCGAGCATTAAATATATCGGATATATCTAATTTGAATATTCAATTCATTCTGGACAGGTACCTCCTAATTCTTGGCTGAGTAGGGAAACACCACACCAAATTAAATTGTATATTTCTTTTCAATAGATATTCAAAAATTACGAGATATTCTCACTGAGAACGGAATAGAAGTTGAAATAGAGCCAGATCCACCACTAGATGACAGCACAGAACAAGAGAAAAGTGAAGCCGTGATACATTTGGAGGACTCTAATATTGTTTCTGTCGATGCTTGATTATAAGCTTGTTGGCAGTGATTCAAACAGGGACGTAGCCAGGAGGTGGTTTTGGGGGCCGAACACCCCCCCCCTTTTGAAATGTAATAAAAATAAAAACATCTTTCTGTATCATACATAGACATTTTTCGTAGCTTGAAACGCTCTTTAGACTCAAGACTCAAGAAAACACACGTTTTCCAGTGTTCGGCCGCTGGCTGTTTCGGTCTAACTTGGCAAATAGAAATGTCAGAACCCAATACCCCCCCGCTTCAAAATCTGGCTACGCCCTTCCCTGGGTTCAAAACCTTTCTTGATATATTTTTCCCCCAACATGGAACTCTTTGTTCAATTTTGTTACTATTAGTAAAAAAAATTGTTATGTGTTCAATTTCTAAAGGAAACTGAGTTCATGTGAGTGTAGCTTGCACTCTAGCATTTTCACATTTTAAATAATAGGTAGAAATCATTAGTGAAGCTATAACAGATCCTTTTTTATTTATATATAAATAAATTTTTGAAACTCTTTAGTCATGTTCGCAAATGATTTTCACCATCGAATCCATTCATTTGAAACGAATGACCAGTTGATTACTCCCATATCCGACATGGACTGGTAAACTGGTCGAGAGTTTGTGATTCATTTTACATTTACCCTCTTTCCTTTTCATTTTGGATATATTGTTCGCCTACTATGGAACTCTTTATTCCTTCTTCACTATTGGTAAAAAGTTTTGTTATTTGTTCAATTTCTAACGGAAACCGTGTGAGTGTTACGTACAACTCACACTCTGGCTTTTACACAGTTTGAATAATAAGTAAAAAACATTTGTGAAGCTAAAACAAATCCAAATATCCTCCTTGTCTCATCATATACTATGATTAATTTGTGTCTAATTTTAGTTCAAAAAATTTATCATGTATTTATTTCAAATTATAGTTTATATGAATAAAGAAACAGGGCAAACCTCATAAAATAAGGAATGAGATTTTTCAGTCATATGACTGATTTCTATTTTTTTTTTCATATGACTATCTTATCTCATAGATAGGCAATCCCGTAGTATTTGTACCAGGTTAGGGTTAGGCCATAATTTTATTCTGATTTTCCTTATTTTAGTTCTATTACGAGTTCAAGGACTGTCTGAGTTAGCCAAATGAATATACCCCCTGCCCATATAGGTTTCAGTCCCCTTAGTTAGCCAAATGAATATACCCCCTGCCCATATAGGTTTCAGTCCCCTTACACAACTTGATGTAAAGAAGGTGAACAAATACCCCAAATTGGTACACACACTTCTGGAGCGCTCATAAATATGCTTTTATCACAAATGTGAAATAAAACATATCTTGATCTGTAAACATGAATTTTAATTCACAGTAATTTCAATCTATGGAATACTTGAAAATGATATTTCGTGATTCCATGTATGCAAAATTCATTTAATATGTCTAATTTAGATAAAATTGTTTGAATATCTCTAGTCATGTGCGCAAATGATTATAACCATCGAGTTCATTCATCTGAACGACTGATCGTTATTTATTCCCATAGCTGACATGGATTGGTAAAAGGTCAACAGTTTGTGATTTGCTTTATGAGTGAACCATCTTATTGACTTTCCTCTCCGAGCGTTTTATATAAAAAAAAAAAACCGCCCCTTGCTATTTCATCTTTTAAATAGGCACTGGTAATTAACGACTGGAGCAAGTCAAGTCAAGTCAAGTTTATTTTTTCCAACCAGTAAAAAACAAAACAAAAAATACATGCAAAAATATATAGAAAAAATGACATTTAAATTACTGGGGAAGGGAGGCCGCGGGGAACCATAACTGGTTATCGAGCTGCGACACCCAAGGTTCTAACACCTAGTTTGACAGATCGGGGGGAAGAGTTTCAACGAATAGATACCATATAAATTTTACTAAATAGCTATGATTTCGAGCAGCTGAAATCGACCTAGAGAAAAGATTTTGTGACATTACTATGAGCAAACTTAACCAAGTGTTAACTGTTCCCTCTTAACAGATTGTCTGATGTGAAGTTATTCCAATCAATTATTATGACCTAAGCTCACAGGTCACTTTTCTCGTTAACTACTCGATCAATTGCTTTGAAATTTTTCAAAAGTTAGAGATTGTATTTTTAGCTAGAGGGCTATTACTTTTATTTAGTTCAAATTTTGTGGGATTCGATTTCGTGATCAAAAATTGTGCACTTTGTGGCGGTTCCGATTTCGCCTACTTCTTCGTTTTGGAATTTGTATCCACGTTTTGAGCATCGCTTCCTTATTCCAAATGCATTCCAAACTATGATGGCAAATATCCTCTTAATTAAATAAACATGCATTATTATTTGAACCAACTCGAAAGGATGGAGAGCACGAATCCTGTAACATAAATCAGAGCTTTGAAGCTTCGGGAAAGATATACAATCGATTCTTAGAGCTAAAATAATTTATACTCCGAGTCGATGTACTTTTTTGACTTCATTTATTGGTACTCCCGAATAAAAGTAAAATAAAAAAAATTGAAGTAAAATTAACGTCCAACCTGGTACACACTACGTTCCGATGTCCGCCATCTTGGTTCACATACTTCGGGAGTACCCTTTCATTTGCATTACATTTCTTCCCCGCATTCTATCTTCACCAGTTCGACTTTTCTCAAAACGTGTAACTTTGCCTGGAGATCTTAACTGCAGGCGACCATCTGTTACGTAAACAGTCGTATCGCTCCCTCCAGTTTTTATCAGGAAGCATTCTATTTATTGTTTGCATGCATTTAATTATTTTGGCTGACAAATCCATAAATTTATCTGCTATATCACCAAATTCAGCGAATCTCTAGCACAACGTTTCCCAAACTGTGTTCCGCGGAACACTAGTTTTTTTGGCAGCGTTTTCCGGGTGTTCCGTGAAAAAAGAATAAAAAATACTTATAAATTAGTCGTCATGGTGATCAAGAGATTTTGAAGTTGTCGCCCAACTGACAATCCAATATCGTGTAACCTTCGGCCTTAAGCGGACCCACTAGGGTAGGATAGTGGCATGTTCGTTAACCGTCAAGTTCATTACTTCATTTACGACATAGAATGGTAGAATTGATTCATATACACAGCATTTAAATTGAGACACAAAAATGTTTTTATAATAAATGAACTATGTAAAATATTCAATCATATTTTAGGTATGTTTAACACAATTCTGTTAGTTTCCGTGGTGCAATTGGCAACTCGCCACGGCGAACCCACTTGGAGCCGACACCGTTATTCTTTATCACTTTGATCTTTTCGTTTTTTGGTGTTCCGCGAGGCGAGATAAAAAGTGGAAGTGTTCCGTGGCCGAATAAGTCAGGGAAATGCTGCTCTAGCACAAAGTTAACATCAAGAGGGTTGGAACATGCTCGGGAGCAATCAATGCTGATATGAAAAGTCTTTGACAATCTGATAGCTGTCATTTGTTTGACTTTTCCCATTCGTTGTGTTAATTTTGGTCAAGCAGTTGGCGCAAGTGACGAAATTCTCGACCACTTCACATATGCAATATATTTTCATTTGTTATGTTTCTATAGAGTGTTCAGACGGAGAGGGCTATGCTCACGTATATATATGAACACGAACGTCTACCCGAAGCGATGCTTTCCTCGTGAGCGATAACGCGCTAATCTGCACTCTGCACAGCAGGCTGCACTTCTGTTGCTCTCGTCTGTTCTCCGTTGTGTTTGCGTTTCGAGGAATCATTTTCAGAAACGTTTCATCTCGAATAATATTTGATAAGTTGATTCTGTAGTATAGTTTGCTCCACACCTAAAAGCAAATAACTAACTAATCGAGGACGTGGTTCGCCATATGATTGGTGTTATCTGTTTTCCCCTCCCCCCGTGATAGATATGTAAATCCTCGTCATTACTGAAATCTCGATTCGAGAGAGTCTCATTCTATGCTCAGACGTTTGGAGCCCTTCGAAAAAACTTCCGCATTTCCCGTTTGTTTCGTGTGTTGTAGGTTTTGCACTATGGCTGGTTTAAAGTGAATATCTTATAAATTTGACGAATTTAAGCAAAGGTTTATTTGAGATGTTCTGAAAATTGTTGGTCTGATTGCTAATCTAATTGTAAACGACGTCGAGCTCGGTAATAACTTGAATAAGTGACATCAAAAATCTTTTGTTTCATCTTTTTTGCCCTTTTACAGGGGTTCCCAAACTGGGATACATGTACAACCGGGGATATATTTCGACTTAAAGGGGTACATCAGATTAAGTAAAAAGGATATTCTTTCCATACCTTCCTATATGCCCCATGTTGATAATTTGAAGACCTTAGTTTAACAACTGTTTAAAAGTCACATTTTCAAATCGGCAGAATCTTTAACTACAATTACTGACAAGTCTACATTCCCATGACTTCATTTCACAATCACAGCACGCATTACAATTTTGTGCGAATCTTAAATTGGCCGAAGGGTATCGATGAACAAAAAGTTTGGAAAACCCTGACCTAACATATGCGCAACTCTGACTTTTGCGTAGCTTGAACACTTTATAATAACGTTTGACTTGTTTAGTACCAATAACAATATTTCAAGTTGATATTATGGTGGAATGTTGATTCCGGAATAAATCTGAAACAATCAGACAAACGAATATTTTACCACTCAAAATAATTAGATCAGCAAAAAAAGTAAACATCGTTTCAGCCAAATGTATTTATTCAATTAAAATAGTAATTTCAATGTATGGTTTGCGAACTGAGCAAATTATAAAATTGAGAATCATTCTTAAGTTTGAATAATGTGAATTGCAAGTTAAAGAGTTCGTATGAGTTTATAATTGTATAGATTTGAAAATATGAACCAAAGATGTATATTTTACTGATTAAAGATCCAGTAGTACAAAAAACACCAGGCAGACGTTTCATAAGATCAGGATCTCACAAAGAACTCAATGATGCTTCATGGTGGGAACACCGCAGATCATCCCTTGATCAAGTACATTGGGTTCGGAATCAACAAACAGGTGAACACTTGTATGATCTTTAATATCAAATCCCCAGTTTGGTTCTCCTGGATACCATTTAGTAAATGAATTTGCAGGTGTGACGTCACGAGTCTGAGAAGGAAAAATGAAAACAATTCGTGATTTGGCGGGTCACCAAGAACGCTGTGCCTCATTTTGTAAAATGATTTGCAGTGATTCGTCATCCCTGACGCACATCATTTTGCATATTGTGATCGCCCATTTTTAAAACTTTGCCAAAGCATTGATTTTGCCTCCGGAGTTGGAGACTTCTTGGTTGTGGGTGTACCCCATCAAACATAGCATTCCCAAATACGACCAGATGAGTCGACTAATTTGATCAGATTTGAATACATTAAAATAGTGATAGCAGTCCCTTTTGCTTCTTATTTGTAGCAATGATTTGTCGAAAAACATTACTCGCTTGATTTAGAATTTAAAATAAATTGTTGTTTCATTTCAGGAAACTGCGAACTAAAGGTTGGAAATATCTGCTATTTCGCTGTGATACGTGGTGAAGTGGATGTCATCTACGACAAAACAGTTGACATTTGTAAGAAACGTAACGCAGATGTTGGTTTGATTCGAGATGAAGGATCTTATAATGCGATTATGAATTACTGAGAAAGACTCATCTGGTCGTATTTGGGAATGCATATATTGCTCATATTCTTCCTGGATTAGATAATTGAAAAGAATGTCATATTTGATAAACGATATGATGCGAATGATTCATCAAATATTCATAAACTACAACTTGGATTGGATAAAGTACTCAACTGGAGAAAGAGTCGTTTCAAATGTTGTGTTAGTCTTTGTTGTTTTCCGAATTTACTGTTCCTAGACAGACTCAAAAATGTAGTTCGTCGGGGAAATAATGTCATTTAGACCTGTTTCCTACAATATTTTTATTCAAAATCCAGAAACATGCGCACTTTCCGCTCAATTAATTGAAAATCTACCTTGGTATTGGTTACTTCGTGGGAAGAAATGAATTAAAAAAATTCATACTATTAAAACTGCTATTCTGAGCAAGCATTGTTCTACTTTGTAACTTTTCAACTATTGCGC